ATACAATATACACTACCCTACCATACACTATACACTACCCTACCATACACTATACACTACCCTACCATACACTGTACACTACCCTACCATACACTATACACTACCCTACCATACACTATACACTACCCTACCATACACTGTACACTACCCTACCATACATTATACACTACCCTACCACACACTGTACACTACCCTACCACACACTGTACACTACCCTACCATACACTATACACTACCCTACCATACACTATACACTACCCTACCATACACTATACACTACCCTACCATACACTGTACACTACCTTACCATACACTGTTCACTACCCTACCATACACTATACACTACCCTACCATACACTATACACTACCATACCATACACTACACTACCTTACCATACACTGTACACTACCCTACCATACACTATACACTACCCTACCATACACCATACACTATACACTAGCCTACCATACACTATACACTACCCTACCATACACCCATCACACCTTATTCAACTCTGCTCTAGCCTCTTGTGGCCAGTATGTTTTCTACATTGCCACTTTTCTTTTCTAAACTTGCTATTTTATTCTGTTCAATTAGATTCAATTTGTTTATATCTATTCATTTATGTTGTTCTAACCTATTCTACTTTCTATTTTCTTAAATTCTATTCTCTTAAATATATTCTATTCTATTCTATTTTATTTTATTTTATTTTATTTTATTTTATTTTATTTTATTTTATTTTATTTTATTTTATTTTATTTTATTTTATTTTATTTTATTTTATTTTATTTTATTTTATTTTATTCTATTTTATTCTATTTCTATTCTATTCTATTCTATTCTATTCTATTCTATTCTATTCTATTCTATTCTATTCTATTCTATTCTATTCTATTCTATACACACATAAACTCAATATTACATATTAAGTGTGCCTAACCACATCCAATAGTGACACTAACAACTGTTTTTGCATGCTTAAAGAGTGTTTTTTTTTTCTTTTCTTTTTTAAATATTTCTTTTTGTTGTAACAAACTGCATGTGGTTGGTGGTGTGTGTTTGTGTTACTGCATGCATATAGCTATCGTATCTGGTTTTGACAACTATGTGGACGGCTTAATCAACTCTATTATGCAGTTCCGTTCTGAGACTAAAGAACAGAAAAGAAAAGATGAAGGTATTCCTGATGTACTCTGATTAGTTATCCCAACTCGTCTACTTCTCACATTGCATATTATTTATTTCTTTATTAATAATTAACGCAAGATCTTAGATCCAAACCTGTGCAGTGCTTGCTACGAACTTTCCAATTGCAATTTCTTTGACCGTCTAAACAATACTTTCAGATTTATCTTCACTTTCTGTGAATATGTTACAAACAGCAATAACATCTAATAAATCTATTTTTAAATGTTTTTAAAGATTGCATTCAAATAAATAAAATTGTTACTTTGACTTGGATGTGAAATAAAAAGTTTTATTTTATTGTAATTTAGCACAGATTCTAATTATAAAGTGATGTGATCACCTACACGAGTACATGATAAGAAATCCACAAATCAGCATTTAGGCTGTTTGTGAATCACAAACCTGATTTAATTTTGGCAGTTATGAACATCCACACTAAATGTTTCCAAAGTTATAATGATTACTCATGTATGTGAGTAAAAATGGATTTGAAAATCTAGTTTGAAGAATTGAAAAGGGTGAAACTGAATTTAATTTTAAATTTAGGCAGAGAACAAAAATGATTGTGTAAATATTTCTGATACCTACCTACCCTTTTTAGTGAAACTCAAACTGTTGCATAATGAAAGAATACTAAGGAAACACCTTCTACTATACTTTATTGGTAAACTCTTTTATCAGTGCGGACCAATAAGTAACTAACTATAAACTGTATTACTACTCCTTTTTATCATATCTTGCATGTTGGCTTTAACAGTATAATGGTGATCCGGTGATGGGACTACTATTATTTTTGTTGTGTTTTGTTCTTTAATATAAAGCAATCCCACACCATTGTCATTGTTATTGTTATCAATATCACTTCTATTATAATCATCATTATCATTATCACGTTATTCAATTGTTCATTATCATTGTAGCATAAAACTTGTTCATTTCTTTGAAATTAGGTTAGAAAATAAATTTAAATATTTATACATTTTTCTGCCAATCAGAAAATGTTCCAAGACCCATGAGCTGTGTTTTTTGAACACAATGTAAATTTTTACTAGTACGGAATGAGAACATAATTAAATTGTTTCTCAAACAGAAATTAACATTCAAATTGTTTACTTATTATGTATGGTCTTTCTGAAATGTTGACCATATATATATATTTAATTGGTACTGCTAATATCAACTTGGGTTTACTCGTACATCAATTAAAACAATTTAAAAAACAAAACATATCTCATGGCCATATAATTGAACTAAGTAAAATTACTAACAATGTATCTAGTACATTTATTCTTTCATTCATAACTTTTCCTAGGTGGTAGAACATTTTGACTTGTACTCTCTGATAGAGACAATCTAAGCAGAAAAATAGACTTGTTTCTCAATATCATCTAACTGATGTGTTTATTCTTCTGTTAGACCAAATGAAAGCATGAAAACAAAACAATATTTGCTCTCTTAGAAGTTGTTTTTCATTTGAGTCAATCATACTGTGGTGACATATTGAATTACACCATAATTTACTAAAATTCTAAACAGGATTTTTACTTAAGCACACATGCTTGTAATAGAGCAAATATGGCATACCTGTATTTTATTCTTTCTGATCTAATATTCCCATGCAATTGTTTTTCGTTAGGGATCACTAAAATCAATTGTGAGAAAAGTACGAACAAAAGTATTATCACTGCAACGAGTTTGAGAAACAAGTCTATTTGGTAACAGCAATAATACTGTATCGATATCTTATATTGTACTTGTATATATTTAATGTTATGTAGTAAATTGAATGTATAAATGGTCATGTTAATATGATACATTTGTTTACATTCTTACACTCTTATGTAATGTCTTAATTTGTAATATTACTCGCTGCTTACTATATACATGTAGTTGTATCATTACTAATTAATTGTAATTTGCATTTCAGAAGGTAATACAAGCTTTAGTGTAAAGTCTGTGTATTGCAAACACTTATAATGAATACGAGTTAATAACAGGGGTGTACAAGGGGTAATATATCAGTGACAGTGATATGTGTTAAACAATCTATGATATCCCTGGATTGTATGATGTATTTGGGGGTTACACTACCCACTTTTAACATCGCTATGGATGCTCTAATTACCAAAATAGACTGGAAATAAATTTAAAGTAAACATTAACTTAACCCAGCTGCCTCCTCCGTTTTGCTACAGAAAATAGAGCGAAATAGAGAAACAGATAGAGGAGGCTTTAAGTATACTTTTATCAATTGGTTGTGAGTGTACTTAAAGGACTGATCTTTTTTACTATGGTTGCAAATGTGAATGTTATAAGATAGAATGCATGATATATGCACTCACTCACAGTAACTTCATATTTGTCCTTTAGTTAGTCTGTTTTAATATTATCATTATTTTATTTGCTGGATTTGTCAATTCACTCATGACTTCCATATGATGATCCATGGCGGTGTTCAGAGTTTTACCATAGCAACCAAATACTCATACAATACCCCTGCATCCATGGCTTTATAATAACCCCCTATTAAAGGAAAATTATGCTGAATAATTAAGTCAATCAAATTAAATATTTTGAATCTGTCACTATATCTCTGTAAGCTAAAGCTCACCCAAATTTGTCTATATCATCTGGGGGTATCTTCATCCTACCTTACTTCCAGTATTAGGAATTGTTGTTTTTGACGATACGCCCAGTTTTCCCTGTTTGGCTTCAGACACTGACTGAACTAAAAAAAAATATGAGGTTACTATACTGCGGAGTATGCATCCAGACAATACGCCATCATTCTGCTCCACCCCACTCAATTCCACTTCATTCCACTTCACATTGATCGATACAACTTCCACTATGCTGTGAATGCTTTGTGGAAACCCTCTCAGTAACCACTATGTTACTGAAAATCAAATGTCTAAAAATTCTTGCAATGCTGCATGAATGATGATTTTGATTTAGAAAAATTGCAAGGAATGCTGGTAACACATTGATGTATATTTAAAGGCAGATAATGTCATTGCCCATCTTTCACTGTTGGTATATTCAGATGTATATTAGTAAACATAAAAATGTTTTTTGTGTGACTGTGTTTTAATGATATCAGATTTCAACATGAGAGATGTACAATTCCTCCTGTTATTAACTCTTGTACAAATACAGCACATAGCCACACATGGTATCGTAGCTCTGCCATCACCTCACAGACAGCCATGCATCGTAGCGTATTTCTGTCATCAATTCACAGACAGCCACGCATCATAGCGTATTTCTGCCATCACTTCACAGACAGCCACGCATCGTAGCATAGTCTGATATCACCTCACAGACAGCCACGCATGGTAGTGTAGTTCTGCCATCACTTCACAGACAGCCACGCATCGTAGCGTAGTCTGATATCACCTCACAGACAGCCACGCATGGTAGTGTAGTTCTGCAATCACCTCACAGACAGCCACGCATCGTAGCGTAGTTTGATATCACCTCACAGACAGCTACGCATGATACAGTGTGTAGTGTAGTTCTGCCATCACTTCACAGACAGCCACGCATGGTAGAGTATTTTTGCCATCACCTCACAGACAGCCACGCATGGTAGTGTAGTTCTGATATTACCTCACAGTCAGCCATGTGTAGTAGCGTAGTTTTGATATCACCTCACAGACAGCCACGCATGGTAGCGTAGTTCTGATATCACCTCACAAATAGCCATGTGTAGTAGCATAGTTTTGCTATCACCTCACAGACAGCCACGCATCGTAGCATAGTTCTGATATCACCTCACAGACAGCCATGTACGGTAGTATAGTTCCGCTATCACCTCACAGACAGCCACGCATCGTAGCATAGTTCTGATATCACCTCACAGACAGCCACGCATCGTAGCGTAGTTTTGATATCACCTCAACGACAGCCACGCATCGTAGCATAGTTTTGATATCACCTTACAGATAGCCACGCATCGTAGCATAGTTTTGATATCACCTCAACGACAGCCATGTGTAGTAGCATAGTTTCGCTATCAGCT